ATTAACATAAAGACTGGTCCTAACGACCCCCAAACCTCCCATTAACATAAAGACTGGTTCTAACGACCCCCAAAACTCCCATTAACACAAAGACTGGTCCTAACGACCCCCAAACCTCCCATTAACACAAATGAAACCCGCAAAACTTTTTAAACTTTACAGAATTAGTTCAATATACAGAGGTTGAGTACGTTACATTAACCATAGCCCTGCAGCGTAGTTTCATTCTGCAGCTGCTTGAGGCACGCAACGGTTGAACGGATAAGTCGTGGAAGCAACTTGTGTACACGTGACTTCTGTTGCTTGTTCGGAATGTGGTTCTTCTTGATTGTGTTGCGTAATGTTGCCTGGGGCTCATGGACAGATTTTATCACTGATCTTTGTATTGGTTAATATTCACCTATTACAAGACGCTGCACTTTTCTGCCACGGCTGGGATAAGACTTGTTGCAGGTCTCTTTATGAGTGGTCTTAGGACCCAGTTTGATCCATATTCTTTTCATTTTGAATACCCCGATCTGAACATATCTTTACGAATATGTTAAGTCGAAAAGCCTTCTCCAACGGAATAGATTCTCGATGGCATAACACTACCTACACAACGCCAAACAATGTCAAAACGAAGTATTGATACGTGTTGCCCCTTTCCTCATTATTATATCGGATGTGGTTGTCATGTGCTTCCTAATTTACATATTCAACATCATTCTAACATGATATACTTAACCCTCTGTAAAACAGACCTTGTAATATAACCACTGATCACCTCTCTCTCTTTTTTATTAAATTTAGAGCACGTGGATATCCAAACGATCACACAACGTACGGGTTGTTGTCTGGAGTGTTTCAAGCGAGCTCTTCCCTAGGGTAAGCTGTCATATTTTCTAGTTAAGGTTGGTAACCCTAAAATTACCCATCCACTTTCTAAACTATTTAGACACCAAAATACTCGTGGATCTAAGCCTTTGTTGGCTACAAGGTTTCGATTCAAATTCCACAAACAAGAATATCATCCATATTGTACTTAATCCCACTAAATCCTTCTGGGATCTCCTTTGTTTGTTTGTTTTGAATTTCGCGCAAAGCTACACGAGGGCTATGTGCGCTAGCCGTCCCTAATTTAGCAGTGTAAGACAAGAGGGAAGGCAGCTAGTCATCACCGCCAACTCTTGGGCTACTCTTTTACCAGCAAATAGTGGGATTGACCGTCACATTATAACGCCCCCACGGCTGAAAGGGCGAGCGTGTTTGGTAGGACGGGGATTTGAACCCGCAGATTGCGAGTCGAGCGTCCTAACCATGCCGGGCCAATCTCCTTTGTACTTCGCATTCAAAACAAGTGACTTCACTCAGTTCTTTTGTTCATATCTTTCCACCGAGTGTTGTAATAAACATAAATATTAAGTTACTCAATGTTTGTGTAAAATTATACACGGATTTTTCTCTACCTTAAAATACTTGTACTTGCGAACCTTTACCAAGGCCTTCATCAAGACAAAAAACATTAAAGTAGTGAAAAGTTCGTGTATAAATTTTACATATTATTTTACCAACATTATGAGTCTTTTAAAAACAAACAATTAGTTAATAATGCTATAATCTATACAGGATGGTCCAAAATTATCTTTCCTATTGTAAAATTTAATAACTAAAGAAATACAACCATGCAGTTTTCGACATCTTGTAGCCCAGCTTACAGTTTTTATTGTTTTGTTTTTCACTCTAGTGAGTAGTGTTACCCTGTAAAATGGCAACCGTGCAAGAAAAATGCTCAATGCATCGTCTGACTTGTAGGATGGGCCAATTCCGTAGCCTCGCGTTCGCCAGATATCACACTACTTTGGGGGTATCTTAAAGACATCGTGTATCGCACACCTGTAGCAAACATCACGGAGCTAAAGACTAAGATAATGGACGCCATCACCACTGAAAATGTTGCAGCGAATATGGATTGAAGTCAAATATTGGTTAGACTTGCCGAGAGCCACTAATGTTGCCCACGTAGAAGCCAATAAAAATAAAATAAAAACAGTTTGAGTTCCGTTACTAGATGTTCAACTGCATGGTTATTAGATTCATAAGACAGATAATTTTAGGCCACCCCGTATATTTAACCTTGTAATTTTCAAGTTACCTAGAGGGAGCTACGGGCCGTTGACGATAATGTTAAGATAGGCTTAGATAAAACATTTGGAACTTTCTAAGGATATACCATAAACTTCTATTTTATTCAAACGTAGGTGATATAATTATTTTTCACGAGAGTAAATCGGTCAGCGTTACACGTTGTACAGATTAGTTTCTACATTGTGTAGTACAGTTATCGTGACTGAAAACTTAGGCCTAGAAGTTACAGCGGTGTTGGAGCTTGTAATAATGTTAAGAAGGATAGTTTTAGCGGACTGGACATTATTTTTACTTAATAAATTAAAAGAACAAACATTAGAAGGTAATATGTGGACATCATAACTAAGTTTGTAACATTAGTGTTAATTAGAAAGTAAACTACTTCTAAAAATGTTTATACGTCTGTTTTCATTCGTATACAGGGCGTTTGTAGGGCCATCTGTAGGAGGAATCTTATTGGAACATGTTGGTTACAGAATGAGCACTGCTGTTTTGGTTGCTGAAGAACTAGTTCTGGTAAACGAATTCACGTTTTAATTCGTTAAATAATTTAAATTGTCATACGTAAATGTTGGTATCGTTTATTCTAATTATTCTTGTTTTATTGATTATTAACAATATTAAACTAGTGAGTAATGTACCAGACCCCTGTTGTTGCGGGTGGCCTTAAAATTTAATATTTTCGCCTTAGCACTGAGAAAATCCAATAGGATCTTTGAGCTCCGGCAGATAAATTGATCTTTGTTAAACCACACATATATACTTGGGTAATGAAGTCCAGTATGCATATGTTAAACAATGTGATTATTTGAAAAACAAAACTTTTAGTTTTAATTAAAATGAAGAAACGTAACAAAACATTTGGAAATATCTTCTTTTAACGTCTAGTGGACCATTTAAAAATAGTTTAACTCTTTCACTGCCATGGGCACACGTATGTTTCCTTCTAGAACTCTGCCATGGGCACGCGTATGTTCCTTCTAGAACTCTGCCATGGGCACGCGTATGTTTCCTTCTAGAACTCTACCATGGGCACGCGTATGTTTCCTTCTAGAACTCTGCCATGGGCACACCCATGTTTCCTTCTAGAACTCTACCATGGGCACATATGTTTCCTTCTAGAACTCTGCCATGGGCACGCATATGTTTCCTTCTAGAACTCTGCCATGGGCACACCCATGTTTCCTTCTAGAACTCTACCATGGGCACGCATATGTTTCCTTCTAGAACTCTGCCATGGGCACGCGTACATTTCCTTCTAGAACTCTGCCATGGGCACACCTACGTTTCCTTCTAGAACTCTGCCATGGGCACGCGTATGTTTCCTTCTAGAACTCTGCCATGAGCACACGTACGTTCCCTTACAGAATGCCATCATGGGCACACGTACGTTCCCTTACAGAATGCCATCATGGCCACACGTAGGTTCCCCTCTAGAATGTTGCCATGGGTACACGTATATTCCCCTCTCAATGAAAGAGTTAACACTGGGAGAGTTGTTTATCTATAAAGGAGGTAATGAAAGAGTTAACACTGGGAGAGTTGTTTATTTATAAACGAGGCAATGAAAGAGTTAACACTGGGAGAGTTGGTTATCTATAAACGAGGCAATGAAAGAGTTAACACTGGGTAAGTTGTTTATCTATAAACGAGGTAATGAAAGAGTTAACACTGAGAGAGTTGTTTATTTATAAGCGAGGCAACGAAAGAGTTAACACTGGGAGAGTTGTTTATCTATAAATGAGGTAATGAAAGAGTTAACACTGGGAGAGTTGTTTATCTATAAGCGAGGCAATGAAAGAGTTAACACTGGGAGAGTTGTTTATTTATAAGCGAGGTAATGAAAGAGTTAACACTGAGAGAGTTGTTTATTTATAAACGAGGCAATGAAAGAGTTAACACTGGGAGAGTTGTTTATCTATAAGCGAGGTAATGAAAGAGTTAAGAATATTTCCAGTCACTATACCATTGCAATTGTTAACTCTTCACTGTGTAAGGTGTGCGAAGTGACTCAAGTAGCTTACTTATAAATAGGCCTAGTAAAATAAGTATTTTGATATGGACCCTTGTATGCAGTATGTTTGTTCTGTGAAGTAACAGCGTGTTTTATATAAAACGGTACGTTTAATTTCTCGTGGATTCTGACATCATAAGTTATCAGCCACGATTTGATTATTTATTTTTTATTATATATCGAGTTTAAACAAAACGATTTCACAATTATCTAAACATTCTCATACTTGTGTATTTGGCGAATTAGGCTTAAGCTTTGTTCACTAATATTTTATTTACAGATAGGTGTGCTTATCATATATACCTTCTACAATATGGCCACCAGCAAGAAAGTCGTGGACGATGAGAAACGGTTTCTTCTTCATAAACCTACATCTTCTACTTAATACAAGTAATTAAACAGTTTTTAAAGTCCTTGTTACGTGTGGTTTTTTTTTTTTGAAACATGGACACGTGGTTAGAGAGTAAATGAGTAATTCCGAGCGCTACGTAATACGTATGAATAACAACACCCAAAACATGACTATCTAAAAAACTGGGGTTCAAAGGTAGTATATTAACATTCACGAGCCCAGCTCTGTCGATAAGCGAAATTAATGTTATAAATAGAACCATAATTCAAATGATTAACAGATATGAAAATTGTGAACCTGGATTAGCTCTTCAATGTGTCCGTCGTCATCAACGGACACGGACCATTTTTGGCAGGACAATTAGTAAAAATATTCTACATATGTCCACCAAGTTTCATCAAAATCCGATCATTTTTAACTGAGCTATGGAGCAAAAATAGGGTGAAAAATTGATGTTAACAGATGGGTATTCTTTGGATTTTCGTGGCCCTCCAAAAACTAACCACTTCTAAGCTGGGTCGTAGTTCAAATGTATACCAACTTTCGTCCAAATCCATTCGGCCGTTTTCGAGAAATCTTGCTGAGAAACAGACACAGGGGTGAAAACGTGACCTCCGTCCACTTTCATAGGGGTGAAAACATGACCTCCGTCCACTTTCATTGGCAGTCGTAACAAAACTTTCATTTCCAGTGTACTTTTTGTCGTTAGTTTCTAACATTTCTCTCAAAAGTATAAGTTTTTTGTTGTTTTTTTTTGGGGGGGCGCGTATTACATCATTACGTATTACGTTGTATTACATCGTACCAAATGTATATTACATTAAACATTTCATAACTTATCCATGGGGTTATGGGTCATTTTTACTCTACCATACAGTAACTTAAAGTAATTTAGGTATGTAAATAATATTATGACATTTTGTCGAATTCGTCATTCGATGTTATACAGTGGACCAACTGTTTAATGATACAGTACGCGTCGGTCGAGTGGTAGTAATGTGTGATACAGTACGCGTTAGGACCAGTCTTTACGTTAATAGGAGGTTTGGGGGTCGTTAGAACCAGTCTTTATATTAATGGGAGGTTTGGGGGTCGTTAGGACCAGTCTTTGTGTTAATTGAAGGTTTGGGGGTCGCTAGGACCAGTCTTTATGTTAATGGGAGTTTTGGGGGTCGCTAGGACCAGTCTTTATGTTAATGGAAGGTTTGGGGGTCGTAAGGACCAGTCTTTATGTTAATGTGAGTTTTGGGGGTCGTTAGGACCAGTCTTTGCCCTTTTGACCTATGACACTTTGTTTTAATGTTTTAGAAGATCGAATCGTAGTCTTCGACTAAACGTCACAGGGTGGTGAAGTCCGCTAGTCTTGAACTAAACGTCACAGGGCGGTGAAGTCCG